AAAAAAAAAAAAAAAAAAAAAAAAAAAAAAAAAAAAAAAAAAAAAAAAAAAAAAAAAAAAAACTCACAAGGCCAAAAACGTCATTTACTATATTACAACAGGAGAACTCCGTAATTTCACACTACTCATTTCTCTCTTGTTCTTGTTCCCCTCTCAATACGCAAATTCTCCTCTCCGATTCCTCGTGGATTTACGGTCACGAGAAGCCGCCATTGAAGTCGACGAAGAAGAACCAGATTCCGAACTCGAAAGCGACGCCGTTTTACGACTCGACGAAGAATTTTCCTTCATTATACTCTCTTTTTCGTCCATTAAAATCTGCCTGCACCTACACTCCACGCTGCAAAATCCCCTATCTCCCCTAAATTCCAACAAAATCATCAGACAAATACAAATATGCATACATACATACATATATATATATATATATATATATATATATATATATATAGAGAGAGAGAGAGAGAGATTTACTTGTACATATAGATGTCCTTTCCAGGCAAGAGCTTCTGATTACAGAGATAGCAGGAATGGAGGCGAAACGACGTCGTCTGGAGGTAGGAATTAGAACTGCGAGAAGAGGAGTTGACGGTGAGGTTCATAACGGAGGCTTTACTGATAACCTGGGATGATTTATTACAAAAATCTCCCTGGTTGGATTCGAGAATCACGCTTAAACCGACCATTGTAAGAGCATTTGAGTTCAGGGAGAAAATGGGAAAGAAAAAGAACCGGGGAGGATTTTGTTTTCTGGTTCGTTGGTTTCTTTCAGGGAAGAAAATAAATAAGCGAACGGGAAATGAGAAGGAAAGAAGAAGAAGAAGAAGAAGAAGATGATGATTATGGTACGGATGGTGGTGAGTGGTGGGGCCCACTACACAGCTAATGCAGCAGTAAACAAGGACGATCAGCGCAGCGACCGATTTGATTTCTACTGCTTATTAACTGCCACGTACCCCCCCCTTTTTCTCCTTTTACATTTTATTTTTTATTGCTTTTCTTTTTTTATTTAAATTACAAGTTTTTTCTTCAATATTTTTTCTAAATTATTTAATTTTTATCTTAACTCTAAAAATAAAATATTTTGTAAAAAGTCAACCAATAAATAAAATATAACAAACATAGGTTAAAAAACGTCATAATTATCATTTGAGAATATTCAATCAATGTTAGTTTTTTATACAAATTTTAAAAAAAAAAATCCAAACTTTTTATTTATTTGCGTTAAAATTAATTTTAGTAGTAAATAAAAAAAATAAACTCCAATAATTAATTAATTTATTTTCAAATTTAAATGTTAAGGACATAATTGAAATTTCCGTGGAATTTTAGTAGAATTGTGTCTTTGTCATAGGGAGTGGGCCGAAAAAGAAATAAAAACAGAAATGATTCTTTTTTGTGGGGCCTCACATAATTAATTTAATGAATATGTACGTCTCATACATCATATAGTAAAGGAAATCTTGTTTTTCTATATAATTACGTCTTATTTATTATTATTATTATTATTATTATTTCAAATATATATATTCATAGTACACGTACTTCAACTCTTTTAACACCCATTGTACTCTCTCTTTTTTACACTATTTAATTTTTTTCATAAATTATTAATTTTTTTTTTTTATTTAGATTTATTAATTAAAAAAATAAAGGAAAAAGTCATTGAAAACGACAAAAAGAAAAAAAATTATTAAAGGAATTTCCCATGATTTTACTTTTTACCTTCGTCCTTTTGATTGGTTTTGGTAGTTGCTTGCCTTTCTTCTGTCCCCTTATTCTCAAGGGGGCCTTCCGTATGCCCTAATAATGCATGACAAACAAAACCCCTCACTCTCCTTTTCCACTTTTTTTTTTTTTTTTTATATATTTTCTCAATTATTTTTTATTAATTATTTTCAACTTTTATGACAATAATCGATGTGCACCCATAAATGTGGACCAACATCACAAGCTTCACCTAAAAAAACAAAATTAATACAAATTCAACCCAAATTATCACTTCTCCTCCACCTCGGCTTCTCGAGAGGCAAAGAATGCACCATGCGTGCTCTTGCCTCTAGATATTCCGTTCAATCTAGACTGTTTTTCACTCAAGCCAATTTGTTTTAATAATTTTAAAATATTATAATTTTAAAATTAAGATTAAGAATAAAAATGAGGTTAAATTATTTAAAAAATAATGTTGGTTGGAAATAGTTTGTATAATTTAGTCTAAAATTAATTGGAAGGGAAATGTAGGGTTTACAGGTGTTTGGATGTGGGGAGAAGGAGTGAGACGTGATGAGAACGGCGCTGTCTTTCAGCCGGATATCTTTTGTTTCACCCACTTTTATTTTAATACAAAAGCCGGCGCTGGCGACTATATCGATTAACACTCCCAATCTACTAATTTAATCACCTGCCACGTGGAGGTCAAATCAGTCAGTGAAATAGGAGGCATACAGTAAATGAATTGAGACATAATAAATTAAATAAATAATAAATTCAGGAGAGAGGAATTGATAATAGTAGAGGTGTGAGAGAGTTCAATTTGTATTGAATTTAAATAAATAAAAAATTTATAGACATGAATTATTCTCTAATTAAACTCCATCCAATTAACTCGAATTTGCTATTAATTTTACAATTATATATATATATATATATATTATTTTATTATTTATTATTTGACCACTTTTAAAAATAATATTTAACTATTTAGATAATAATTTTTCAAAATATATATTAAAACGAAATTTGTAACTTTTAATTAAATATTTTACTAACTCTCACTTTTATTAAAAATAAAAATTTAAATAAATTATTCGAATAGCAAACCAACAGTTGAATTTTATTTTATTTTATTTTATTTTATTTTATATTCATCCTCTATTCTTTTGATTTTATCATATGGTCAAGATTATTTATAATAATTATTTTTAAAAATATTACGTTATATGTATTAACCGTTTTGAATCCTCTGCTCACACGTTGTTTTTTAAACTAAAAGATGAAAAGAAAAAAAAGTAAATTTAGTTATAAATGGTATTTTTTGCTAATTAAATTCTATTTTCTTATTAATTTTATTTAATGATGGCATAATTCTAATATTTTTATAAAATTATACATATGTAAAATTTATTGTACTAAAAATAAATAAATTTACCATAATTATTTGTGTTTTAAATATACTTGATTACATTATTTACTTTAAGCCAACAGTAAAAAAAAAAAACTGGTCTAATTTGGTAACTTGGTTGGGTTTGATGAATATGAAAAGGATGGCTTTAATTCAAAGCTAACTTCAAAAGTACATCCTATGTGTACAAGACCTTACGATTCAAACCCGAAAGTAAAAATCCTATTTACAGCATCATGTATTAAAATTGAATACTATTAATATTTTTTCGACAATTTTATAATAAATATTTAGAAGCGTAACCATATAAAACTATTATATAAGAGAAAATATATTAAAAATATTATTTATATGTTCGGATCTTTTCATATNAGGAATTAAATTTAGCCAAAAAAAAAAAAAAAAAAAAAAAAAAAAAAACATGGTCAAAGAAAAATAAAATCTATGGCTAAAGGTATAATAAATTATTATTATTATTATTTTTTTGAAAGTGAAAGTCCTATCATTATATTTGATGGGGAAAAATGGGGATTTTATGGTGTTATTCAATGAACCATTATAGTGGTCCATATTATAACAAGGAATGTGAAATTATTCAAAATTTCCACTCCATTATTATCACCACATGTGGCCAAACAAATGTCTTTCACCCACTTTATCTTTTATGGACATTGGAATAATTTTGTGGAACAAATATAAATATTTATGAATTATGTTTGTTTATTAATGAAATTAAAAATTAAAAAAAAAAAAAAAACATTTCGTATTAGGTCGAGGTCTGACTCGCGTGTTAGATGTTCAAATCTCGGATCAAACTCGACCTATATTACATAAATGTCGAGATTATGTGAGATTCTCATTTTTGTTAATAATTCATCTAATTGAAATTCAATTTAGATGTGATTTTACGAGTTTAACCCTTTATATATTTTTATGAAAGTGATATAGAAAGTTTTGATTATTGTGTCAATTTAGTGGGCTTGACTATGCATTTCGGATCCAAATAATTAATGGGCTTATAGGCCCAATTAGCAGACGGATCACAGAGGCCCATTATCATTAAAAAAAGAAGAAAAAAACCCCCCGCCAAAATGTTCAACATATCCCGCTTTTGGAACTGTTGTCGTCTCCAGATTCAGAACTGAATTGATTTTCTCTATAATTTCAGTTATTCCATTAATTTTCCTTTTATTTTTTTTCTTGCATCGGAAGTCAAATCAGTGCGAAAAAGTTCATCCAATTCCAAATCAATGGCGACCGATCATCACAGCGTGCGACGAAAACGATTTGGCGTAGTGGACGTACTGTCGAGTGTTGGTGAATTTTTCTAACCGAGCATTGATGAACAATGGAGAATTTGATCCAGAAAAAATGGAATTCAACTTTGCTGTTGCTAATGGAGTTAATTAATATGTTGATCGAAGTCGAGATAGTTGGGGAACAATCGTGTCGTTGATGCTGTTATATCGGTACATTAGGACTAGGACTGCTTTATTATCCTTAGCACTGCCGGATCATGTTCGCCATGTAAGCTACACAAACGAACTTCTTGATATTTGTCTTCTTGCAGTGTCCAATATCTGGTGGATGTTTCGCGGCATCTCGCCAAATAGAGGCCAATTCGTTCATTGGAGTTGAAAAGCAAACAGAAACATTGGGACTGATTGGTAACTTATTTTATATTGGCGCTAAATAAAATTTCTGATGAATTTTTCAATTTTCTCGGTTTTGTCATTTTCTTACAGGGATCGGAAAATTAATTTTTCCACGGTGCAATTCAGAGTTATGCAGCCAATTTACACATATTCGATGTAAGTNTTCACATGTTTTTGCATTTTTTTTTTTTTTTTTTTTTTTTTTTTTTTTCTTCTGCTGAGGCTGTTTTGTTTCGAATTAGAAAGCAAATTCGTTCTTATCGTTATGGAGATTCCATCTCACTCATTAGGCTAATGACAGTCGTTTTCAGGTCGTTTCATTACTATATCATCGTTGTCGTGGAAATGGAGTTTGATTAGTAATGTAGAATCTTGCCTTGGTGGTCCATGGTGTAAAGTATGCGCGCCACTACTGTTGCACGCTAGGTGTTTGATGTAATGTCTCTGCATAATTTGGTTACCCCCCTGCATAGTCTTTCCATTTTTTTTTTTCAAAAAAAAAAAAAAAAAAGAAATTGAAAAGTCTCAATTAATCATTTCTGGGAATAAGATTCAATTATCTTTAGACCAGTCGGGTGATAATCTCTATTGTAAGCCATAGGTTTGAATCCCATATTACTCTTAAAGCCAAAATTGTCTCTACTCTGCATCGCACATGCTTTGATTCCATATGATACAATTACTTCAGAAGTTAAGTATCAAGAGTCAAAATCAAACCAAAATTTTACTTTTTGTTACAACTTAACATCTTTATCTTAACCACCGATTTTGCACCCCATTGGGAAGTAAGCTGATTTGCACAACTTTTTGAATTCTGTTTTGCAAAGAGCAATCAATACATTTTAGGCCTCTAATGATTAAAAGTTACTATTAAATGAAACTGTTGATGAAGCTTGCTTTCTGTTGGCAGAAATGTTGGACTTAAAACTCCGTTGGCACAGGTTCAGTCTCTGTTAATTAGTTGAAGGGTCAGCAATCGGTGGACATAAAGGCACTGATCTTGAACGACAATTCAGTTCTCTAATTGTTTGACATTAATTTGATGTTTTTCTTGCACACAGGGAAGGAAGCTGGATTCAACGTTTTAATTACTTTTGCTCGTTTGAGTTTAAAACAAGAGGAGCGCCATACCCCAGAAATGGATGACAGGTAAGGCAATCAGGTTTATACAGCTTCTTTGCCTCCCAAACACGCACAAAAGCCTTAAATTTAGCCAAGCCTTTCATTTTTCCTTCTTAATGGAAAACCCAACCCCAAGAAAGGAGCATTTATCAGTTGGTTTTGTATGATTTAGCTGCTGCTAAGTAATAATGATATGAAACTGTTTTAGACTAGTCAAAACAATATTTAGTACAGTAAACCAGGTTAGATTCTAAGTTTTCAAAGATTGTTTCCGGTTGAGGTGATCTGAATGATCCTTAACTTGAGAGGTTCTTTGAACGGAGAAATGAAAGAATAAGAATACGTATATAACAATAGGATTGACGAGAAAAAAAAACTTGAACTATCGTTATATAGAATCAATAGAGGACAATGAAAACATGTAGAGGAAATGAGTTCAAGCCTAATAGAATTTTGGGTTTAGAGGAAATGAATTCAAACCACAGTGATCCTAGTAGAATTAAGTATCTTATGAATTTCTCTAACAGCAAATATAGTAAGATCTAATAGTTCTGTGAAATTAGCTGCAAGTTGGTAAAACTCTTGATCTCTCCAAAATCTGGCCCTGTCACAAACTTTTTAAAAGAAGAGTTACAACAGGAGAGCTGTAAAGCATCTTCTACATGGTTCAAATTTGGACCACTTTTTGGATATTTTGGTCCAGCATTGCTTTGTACCATAAAGAAGGAAGAATCAGGCTAATGTGATGTGGTATATACCAGATTCCAACTTCTAGCACATGCCTAAGTTTAGAAGTTATTAATGAAGCTTATCATCGCAAGTTGATAGTACGAACATTTCTTTACGTCATCATGTGTGTAAAAAAAGGTGTGTTCTCAGAAAAAGGAAAAGAAAAACCCATAAATTTGTCTGCTCCGCCACCATAACTGAAGATCTAGCCCTGGAAATGACTATAATGTCCAACATCGTATATGTATGAATGATGATATGAATGAAGAATGTGGTAGTTGTATTGTTGAAGGATTGTTTATTATCAGCCATGCATTTGCATGTACGAATACACTGTGGCGTAGCGAACGGTTCATTTTTGTTGTCTCAATGGCCACACACACACCACACCACACATGGCTGGTCTATTACTGTGCTTCCATATGCCTCTTCCATTTTTTTCGTTATATAGTTTCCGATCATATTCAAAAGGGAAATTTCATCCATTGATATGACACCAAATTCCCCCCACCCAAAAACACAAAACTAAACAAAAATATTTCACTATCTAAATATATTACAAACATATCCCAATTCCAATTAACCCCAATTTACCCGAAATCAAACAAAATAATAGGCTTTAAAGAAAAATGGAGATAATTAATTGTAATATATAGTATACCTTCCTATTATATCCTAAATTATGCTTATATATCATGCTTACTTTTGAAAAATTAAATCTAACTCTGTGTGTCTTGTTTTTGAACAGGCGATTCTTTGAGAAATTCAGGACCTTCCTCGCGTATGGCTGTGTGGATCGCATGTGCGAAGACATTATCGGTGCTTTTGCCTACCAAGTCTTTGGCTTTGATCGACTCCATTTCCCAATCTGTATTGAACACAACCATTAAGATTGAGACCACACATGCCATCTGAGCTGCCAAAAGCCCATAGCAAAGACCCACAAACCCAAACTTCCAAACAAACGCCGACAACACCGCCACCGGCGCCCCCACCATGTAAAATGAATAGAAGTTTATTCCTGCTCCGACCCCTGGCCTTGCACTTCCCCTCAGAATCCCGCAGCTTGTTGTTTGTGGGCAATTTGCTAGCTCGCACAGTCCGATTATGGGCAGAACCGCCATTGTCAGCTCTAGAATTCCCTCATCTTTTGTGAAAACTCTTCCCCATGTCCTTCTGCCTATGGTGGTCAATGCGAGCCCCATCAATGAGCCCACCAACGCCAATCCTATCGCCACCACCGCCGCCAGTCGTGCCTTCTTGGGCCGGCCGGCGCCGAGCTCGTGGCCGACTCTGGTGGAGACGGCCGCACTGAGAGACATTGGTAATGTGTACATTAGTGAAGTTGTTTGAATTACAATGCCTGAAGTTGCGAGTGCAATCCGCGGGTTGTAGAGGTAGCCAGTAAGAATGGTCATAAACTCATACCACCACCATTCCAAGCAAACTCCAAGGCAGCTAGGAATTGCCAATTTGATCAGCATTCCCCATTCCTCCCCAGTTGTGGCAGCAGCGCTGACGTCGGTTCCAGCGGCGACGGTGCCTTTCAGTGGCACAAACAGGTTAGCCTCCTTGGAAGAGGAAGAGGAAGAGGAAGAGGAAAAGGTTCTGCGAGTGCAGAATATCAAATAGAGTAAAAGGAAGAAAAGTGTATTGAAGTTAGCTATAAAGTTAGAGATAGCAATCCCACGGATTCCAAGATCAAGAGGGAAAGTCAAGAAAATGGCGATGGGAACATGTAGGAGAATAGCCAACAAATTGCACCACATGACAAGCCACGTGGTGCCTTGGTTTCGTAGGTAAATACGCAAAGGGTGAAGGAGGCTGTTCAACACCAAGTCAGGGACTGCAAAACGGCAATAAACAGCAGCAATTCTAGTGATTTCTGGGTTCTGGTGAAGAACCAACATGAGAGGCTCCAAATTGAGCCAAAGAATCCCAATGGGAAAAGAAGCAAAAAGCAAAATAAGAACCGTTCTTTGTAAAGTGAGAAATGCAATGGAGGAATTGTGAGAGCCAAAGGCTTGGCTGCAGAGTGGCTCCATTCCCATTGCGAGGCCAGAGAGAACTGAATAGCCAGTGATATTTGTGAAGCCTATGGCTAAAGAACCAGCAGCGAGATGAAGAGTACCAAGCCTACCCATGCAAATGACAGAGATCATGTTTTTGAGGTAACTCACTAATCCCATTGCTAAAACAGGGAAGCCAATGTCAGCCATTTGCCTGAGCTCGTCCAGAACCTTGAAAAAAGGAGGAAAAAAATGACGAGGGAGAGGACCAGAAGCTTAGCAAACAGGTATGCAATTAAATATATAGTGGCATTATTTTAATATTCTCTGAGAAGTTTTTTTCTTTAAGAATTCGTACCTCTGGCATTGTCGGGTACTTTTGGGACTTCTCTTCTGCAAGCATATTTTTCTTTCCTTTGCCCCTTGCTGTTTCTTTTTCCCTGTGCTCAGTAGAAGAGAGAGAGAGAGTGGAGAAGAGAGAAAGCAAAGTGAGTATTGGGCATGCAGGAAAAGATTATAATTTATAGAGATAGGAATTGGACCAATCGGTGGGGGTCTCCTTTTATATGCGTCTATGGGACACATTCTCTCTCTCTCACTAGAATGCACAGAGGCCCCCTTTAGTTTTGCTCCCCATTAAAAGTTGGATGATTTTAAAGTCTAGGAGAGAAATACCCAAACTTTTTCTTGTGTGTTTTTTCAACTAGAATTTTAACTACTTTAACCATTAACTTTCATAATATGAGTTTTATACCATTAAAAGATAGTTGTCCTTATATAATTTTGTTCTCTTTTCTTAGTTAATAGGAGACTTTAGTTGCACCCCAAATATTGAGAAGATGAGAAGAACTAAGTATTAACTTAATTTTACAAGGTAATTTTGAACAACTTTTAACGATGTATATCTTATTTGTATGTAGATAAAAGTAGTTCTAAGTCTGGATGGTGAAATTATTACTTTAACCACTTTAAGAGATGTTTGACTTGTGAATTAGGTTTGTATAAACTTAGGTCGATAAGCTGAATGTATAGTTTGGTAAGTAGGTTATATAAATCTAAGTTGTGGGTTTGCTAATTCCTGGAACTTAATAAATTTAGATTTCTAAATGTATTTCTTAGGCTAGGCATGCACATTTACAATATACATGCTACAAGTATAATAATAATAATAAAAATTCAAACTCATACTAATTAAAATTGCCAACAAAATATTCCCTAGGCTCTCCTTTTGTGGACAAAGTTTGCACTAAGTTTAATGTGGGGTGTTATTTGCTTGTTTCGTATAGAGCATGTATTGCTTGTTTAAACCATGTGATAAAGTTGAAAGTAGCATACAAAAATACCCATAAATTTTTATGGAATTTTGGAAATTTCCAAAACTAAGGGAAACATAATTACTCCTCTCTTTGTGAAAGGATCATAAGCCTTTAATTTTTCTTCACATGGAAAAAAGTGGATTCATATTCTTATGGAAAATTTGGTAGCTTCATGATCACTCTTATTTTGATGAGTTATTTCTAATATGTTTTTTCTTTTTAAATTTGTGATTATCTCATAATTTCTTTTAGTTTGTCCCACACAATGTCATCATTTTCAAGTATATGTTTGTTAAGGAATTCTTTTTAGTTCGAAAATTATTTTGAAGGTAAATATTACTAAGAGATATTAGGTCGTATTATGATTTTGTTGATCATGGATGCGTCTCTTTCAAAAGAATAGGGATAAGAATACATTTGTGACAATAGAAATAACACATAGATATTTTGATTTTGTTGGCAAAAAATCTCACTCACACACTCAAAGAGAAAGAAAGCAAAAGAGAAGTGGACCTTTCTTGTTTGAATTGCCACTTTCAAAGAAAATAATATATGGTAACTGAGCTGCCTAAACCTCAAAAGATGGGCAATGCCTTTGCAATTTCTTGCCAATAGTTTGGTTATACATATAAATGGATATTTCTTGCCAATTAACAGTACAAGTAAAAAATAATCAAGAAAGTTTGTATAAGTACAACACAGATAAATGGAAATTTTTTGATATACTAACGGATATCCCTATCAATAATTATCTAATAGATAATTATATTATAGATATAGATCGGGAAAAAAATCTGGATAGAAAATATTTTGATTGGAGAATGCTGCATTTTGGTCTTAAAAATAAGGCCGATATTAGAGCCTGGATCAATATTGAAACTGACACGAACAGTAATAAAAATACTAAAACTGGGGGTAATAATTTTCAACAAATTGAAAAAATCGATAAGAAAGATTTTAATTATCTCACAATGAATCAAGAAATCAACCCATTGAACAATAAAAAAAAAATCTTTTTTGTTTTTGATTGGATGAGAATGAATGAAGAAATACTAAGTCGTTCCATATCGAATCTGGAACTTTGGTTCTTTCCAGAATTTTTGATACTTTATAATGCATATAAGATTAATCCGTGGATCATACCAATCAAATCACTTCTTTTAAATTTGAATGAAAATTTCATTATTAGTAAAAATGAAAAACTACATATTAATCAACAGTCAATTAACCTCCACATGCTGTTCTCTTATAAGGCTACTGCTATGTACCTCCAATATAAGGTAGATTTCAATACCCAAAATTGTAGGGGTCATTATATTTTTCTATCCATAGCTTTGCGTACCTCTTCCCCATTCCCATTTATGTCAATTCAACACCACATTACCATTACATTATTTGAATATTAACTACTAGGGAACTGTCTCATAGTTGTCAGTAAAACGAACAAACTATAAATTCAGGTGTCTTTATAACGTTATAGTAATTGCATGTTTGATATATTTTATATTACCTTAAATGCTTGAGAATGTACTACGTTCTTTGCTTATAGCGAGGTAAAGTTTTCTTCATTTCTCTTTCTAAAATTTCTCTTTGCTCCCATTTTCTAAAATCTTCTTCTTAAAGTGGGGTTTGAAGATTGGGTATACATTGTTAGGTCGAATGCAACACGATTTCGAATTGGCTGAATCACTTGATGGCGAGAGTGAGTGCCGCTCAACCTATAAAAGTGTGATGGTGACATGTTTCTGGAGGGGTGCGGAAGGGGGTAGAGATGAGTAATCGGAATTTTAGGGTGAAAAGGTGTGCGCTTGTTCCAGCGTAATCAGAGGGTAAAAAGCTTCTTTTCTCCGTCATAAATCTGATGCAAAAAGGAGAATATGGGGGAAAAGTGCATTATTTTAAACCATATTCAAGAAATTAATGCCAAAGGGGTTTTCTTTTTTTCGTTTTTTTTTTAATTCCGTCCAAAGTTCAATTTTATTTCATTAAATGCCTTTATTTGGATCTGGATTGCTTAGGTTTCTCACATAACTAACGTCCTTTTAGAGCAATCAAATTTTGCCTCTTTTGTTCATACCAAATCAAAATCTCCCACAATTATTATTTTCCCACCAATTAATCATTTAACAACTCCTATCCCTCCTTAACATTCAAATAATACAGATTATCTCAAAATTATTCAACCAACAAACACAATTCTTTCTTAAAAAAAGAATTCAAATACTATTTTGTATTAAACACTTATATAAAACAATTTATTTAAAAGCTGTTATTTGATGTCATTTAATATGAGCATTTATAAAAATTTGCAAAACACAATAAAAACAAAAGCTTGACTTTTCGATCTCAATTAGGCATATATATTAAACTTGGGAGTCGAATAAACAATATTTTTCTTGCAACCTAAGCAGAGATCGAGACTATTGACCTCCTTTTTGGATGTCACACATAGACAAGACCATCCATGTGCATGAAACCTAGGTTAAACAAACATTAATAATTATTACACCAACTTTGGATAATCTTGTCTAAGCAAAATTTCATTCCATCACTTCTCCGTAACATGTCTTTCCATTAAGTGGAAGGATTTCTTACCTTATACTTCATAGTAAATGGAAAAAAAAAAAAAAGGGTCGATGAAACGACAGCGTATCCAACTGTCGCAATCCCTCCTATGGTCATTTCTGCCATTAAATGGATTTTGCTGTTAGAATGGCATTTCTTTGGTCCCAAAGTCTCAGGCACCGAATGGAAACCAAGAGCTCAAACCACCGACAACTTTTCTGCCTTCTCCCGCAATCACTGACAAACCCCATACGTTTTCTCAACCAAACTATTAATTTATTAACCATTTTTAAACCCTTTTCTTTTTCTTTTTTTTTATTTTTTTTTGGCCTTTAATGTCTGGGAGAGAAGAAAATAAAGGGATGATTTAGGGTCAAATTTATTTCGATTAAAACACGTCTCGTATATCAGTTTAGCCGATCAGAACTTACGAGATTGATTGATTTTTTTCCTTGTAGAAAAATATTCGAACTAGAAAAAAAAAGAGACGAGACCCATAATTAAATTATGCGTATAAGTTTAGATCATTAAAAAGATGGTGATATAGATAGTTATCTAACCATTCAATTATTACTATTTTTTTTATTAAAAGAAAAAGATTTTTTTGGAAGGCACTATCATTCACTCAAACGCTTTCGACCATCGTACACAAAGCACCCTACTTTTCAAAGAAAGCGTGACAAAATAGATACGAAGAAGAGTTGTTTTTATAGGTCGACAAAGAGCACACTCCACTGACAGTAAAAAATGAAGTTGATTATTCACAAGGTTTCGTAGATATTATGGGGTAATAATAGTTGATGAGGACCATGAATTTGACACTTTTGTAACTAGATATTGCACTGAATTAAATATTCCTCTCTTTGGTGATGTGTGTTTAGTCAACCTTCTTAATTCTTTCAAATTTGAAGCCCTAAAGTGGGAAATTTTGAAATTGTGGAGAAACATAAAAGATTGTCCATATTGCTTGGTCTTCCTCTTCCCTCCCACCTACTTTATTTAGAATCTTTTTGAGTTTAAAAAATTGAACATCGTCATGCCTTGAACTTTTGACTGACCGATACTATAGTATGAAAACTTCTCCCTAACAGACCGTATTTTAAAAATCTTAAGAAGAAGGACCCATAAGGCTAAATGAGGTGTATTGTGAGATCCCACCTCGGTTGGAGAGGAAAATGAAACATTCTTTTATAAGGGTGTGAAAACTTCTCTCGAACAGTAGTGGACTTGGGTTGTTATAATATAAGTGCTAGACACCCGTTAAGGGTGTAGCACGTTCTCCCTAACAAATGCATTCTATAGTAGGGCATAATGGGTCTCAGTAGGAGTGGATTGTGAGATCCATCATTTTTTACGAAGGTGTGGAAACTTCTCCCTAACAAACTCGTTCCATATTAGGACATGAAAACAAAGAATGCGAAGAATAAGGAAAAATAAGAAGATAAGTCTTTGGTTCATAGTGGTCCGACCATGGAGGCCTACACCCACACTCAAGGTAAACAAGGTACAACCCTTTCTCAATTTCTTTTTCCTTCATTCTCATGCATTCATCTCATACAATCAATTTTATTTTATGCCCAATTTCATTCAAATAATATAGTTATAATATTATTTTAAAAATAGAA